GGTCCGCCGGCTCGACGCCCGCGTCGCCCGCGCACGCCCCCTCACTCTTATCCGCAATTGCGGGGTGCTATCTATATATATATATATATATATAGATATACATGTATGCATATACATATATATATATATATATATGTGTAAAGACACACACGTATCCGTATCCACCGCCTGCCGAGGTCCCCGCAGATCGCTTTCCCAGGCCGTGGTTATGCGGAAACTCTGGCCTTAGACTAGTGCTCGGCATGCCGATCGCTGCATGCAGGTGTGGCAAGAGCGACCCGCGAGCTTAGGCTTGGCCCCCCCGTGCCCCCCGAAAGCCGCATACCAAAGACCCCTCCAGTGAAAGGTAGCTCTGCGTACGATGGATCCTTGGACAGCGAGTGCCAGTCCCGGCCCAAGTTCTCCAGCGCCGAGAAATGGTCGAGCACCCTCCGGCCGGCTGCGGAGCCCTGCAGCACCGGAAGGAAGTCCACCGCGCCCCAAGACCAACCCGAGTCCAGCTCCCGGATGGCCTCGAAGGGCATCTGCAAGCCCGGGAAGAAGGCCTCAGTCAGCACTGTCGACCAGAACGACGTGCCGTGGCTGTCGAGGTTCTCGAACACCTTGTAGTCGTCTCTGTACAGCAGCTTCAGCGGCGATAAGATGGCACCGTGTAGTGCTTCGCGTTTGTGGCGGTCGAGGACACGCGCGGCGTGGTATAACACGGCACGCCTTGCACCGGCGAGGTCGTCAGCCAAATCCGTGGCACCCTGTTTCGGCGCCGCAGGCGTGCTCGCCTCGGCGTCAAGCAAATCGTACATGCAGTATTCAAAGACCTCCTTGTGGCGCCCAATGCAGTTATAGCAGGCCTCGTGCAGCTGCAGTAACATGTTGTCGAGCAGCAGCTTTCTTCGGTCATCGTCCGCCAGAGAAAGAAACCAATGGAGCAAGGCACCCACCAAGTCGCGATATAGCACATTGGATGTGCCAACGTTGATGCTGCGGGTCCAGAAAGGGCTCGCCCTCGCCTGACCTGCGCTCACATCTGTCCCAGGCACTGGGCGACAGCGCGTGTCCAACCCAGAGCCAGCAGCGAGGCCCCAGGTGACCAGAAGGGTATCATAGATGGGCACATTGGTTTGATGTTCAGACGGGTTGTCTGCAAACACCGTAACGCGAACATGAGGAGCCCATTCCGGCGTGACTTTGTAGATGAAGGCGATGCATCTCCGCAGGGTTGTGTCTAAGGTCTCCGCTGGCGGTTGCTTGGCAACCTGCTCTGCCAGCTCTCTCAGACGGCCCTGGTAGACCTGCAAGGGAAATCTATACAGTGAAGGATTTGGCAAGGGAGGGACGGATCGGTGGCGAGCAAAGGGTGCCAAGGCCGATGGGGCAGCCGACTGGGTAGGTAAGGGGTTCATCAAAGGGATCGGCCCAGTAAAAGTCATGCTGTGCATACGCAACACACACACACACAACACACACACACACACACTCACTTTCCTCCTCCAGCGCTGGAACAGCAGCAGGTCATAGACTAAGGCCGTCGGGCCGCGTCAGCATAAATTGCAATCGCACGCCTGGCGATCGTGCTCGGGCCAAGGCTGTGCTGTGCGAGGTCGGGAACCAGCCGAGGAAGGAAGTGCAGGCAGTGGAACAAGAGGGCAAAACGAGTCGTGCAGTGAACATGGCAGGCTGGTGAAGCGAGCCTAGACTGCAGAGAAGGCTGGAGTGAGAAGAGCCCCAAGGGCGCCCCATCTGCGTAAGTGACGACCCAGGTCAAAGGAAAAGGAGGAGGAGGAGGAAGAAAGAGAAAGAGGGGGGGGGAGGAAGGAGGCCCCGACGGGCCCGACGAAGGGCGGTCACCACGGGGGAGGACGACCCATTGACGCCGCAAGGGGACGGGGGAAGGCAGAAACGCCCGCGCGTCACATCCAGCGAAGGGACGGTGTGCCCACCGCGCACTCGCTTCGTGGAGCGCACGCGGCCGGACCGAAGAGCATCGCGGGTGATTCGAGGTCACCGGAACGGAAGCACCACCTCGTCTGGAACCTGCGTTTAGAAGCCTGCTAGATGGGGTGCGAGTAGATGGGGTCGGAGGATCGCGCCACATCGCCAATGCATCGGCGATACATCGAGGATGCACCGGCGATGCGGCGTCGACGTCGGCGATGCATCGGCGCCGTCGGCGTGGAGAAAATCGGACTCCGCATCGAGCCGCACCGCCGATGCATCGGCGATGCGGCGCGACCCTCCGATCCCATTTACTCGGACCTCATTGGGGAGGCCTGGATACTTTAGAAATCAACTCACCGAAGCGTCCGGTCGTCCCAATGGCGCCCAATGGCGCGCCCGATCCCGCGCAAATTGGACAGAATGCATCGCCCTCACATGGCGCTGTTAGGCGCTCTTGGTCGCTATTAGGCGATATCTGACCGCGATTCGGCGCTGCTGGGCGTTATTTGACTCTAGTTTAGCGAGATTCAGCCCTGTCGGAAACTATTCGTACGTGTATATATACCTATATTCAGTCGAAGACGAAAATAAAATCCGTGAGATACGATCAAAGGTACTACTAGCTAATCCGGCAGCTGCGTGAAGCGGGGAAGCGGCCAGTCAAGCCCTCACGCGGAGGCGGGGCGGTGGCAGGCGAGGTGGCGGCGGGCCGGCCTGCAGTGCGGACAAGAGTACGCGCGACTCCGCTGAGGGCACAGGCGGGTCCGACTCGACCGTGGGGCCACCACGTGGGCAATGAGCATCGCTCAACCGATCCCTATCCCCATTAGGGTGTCCAGGGCCCAACTGGCCAACTTCTCCCCGTGGCTTGGGATATGATATGGGCTGCTTCCGTCGGACTCGAGGGGCCTATATCCCCAACCGAAGTGGTGGCACAGTGTGGCTGAGATGCCATGGCCCAGGGGGGATGGGCATGGGTCAAACAGTGTTGAGGCAGAGGGGCCAAGCAGGCGGGCGGCGCCTCTCAGTGCACGGCAGCGCCTCGGCCCGAAACTGCCCGGCGGCCAGGATCCACCGCGGCCCCACGACTCGGAGGGAAGGAGGACGGAGGGAGGGGGAGGGCGCGCGCCCGCGGCCCTCCGGGGGCAGGACCGCGGGGGCCGACGGGTAAAACTGGCCGTGCCCTTGCGCGGCGGGCAGCAGCAGGGCAGCGAGCAGCGCTGGGGGGACCCAGCGCGAAGCCCAGGGCGGACACGGAGAGATCCGACCTCCACGGGGCGCAAGAGGACAGGCTGTACCTGTGTGCCCCTCTTGGAAGCGCACGTCCGAATCCAACATGTTGCACAAACGTCGTGCGACACATCGATACACAGGCGGTAGGGCCGGAGAACGCCCGCCGCCAGCTACTAGATTTCTGAGCTCGCACGGCGCCCCTGGGGGGCCGAGGCGCACATGGTTCATGTGTGTGTTGGTGATGCCGACCTCCAGGGAGCCAAGCTTCACAGAACGGGCCGCGGCATGCCAGACAGGGCGGCAGCAGGGCTGCGGAGGCGTTCAGAGCCTCACGGGCCGCGCCGGGAGGCGATGGCAAGTAGGCTGGGGCGTGCGAGTCGAGCGCGCCAGACTGAGGCAAGGGGGGAGCGCGTGGCGGCGGCCACACGGGGAGCGAGCCGGGCGCGCTGGCCGCGCGAAGGGCCCGAGGACTGGGGGAGAAAGAGCACATGTCAGCGGGGGGTCCACCTCGCGGGCGGTACACGAGCGTGAGCTGGCACTCGCCAATACTCGCTGCGAGGCCGTCGTCCTGTAGACTACGTAGATCTGGCGGCTACATGAAACGCGGGAGAGCAGCAGCGCGCCAGACGGCACAGCTGGCGATGGATAGACCCTTATTGACTGACGTCGACGACTGGACCTACACCTGTGGCGATGGGGTGGGAGCGGAGGTTCCCGCAGCTTGCGTGGCCGAGGAGGCTTGCGTGGCCAAAGGCTCCCACACCTTTCGTGGCCGCAGAGGTTCCCCAGCTGCGTGGCCGCTCCTGGCACGGTCGGGCGCCGTCGGCGGGGGCACGCTGGGGCAATGAGGGCCGCCAGGCAGCCGCTGGGCTTCCGTGTGGTGGAACAGCTGCCAAAGGGCGCCGTCGGAGGAGGAGGAGGAGGGGGAGGAGGAAGGGCAGGAGGAGGAGGAGGAGGAGGACGACGAAGAAGAAGAAGAAGAGGACGAGGAGGAAGAAGAGGTGGAGGAGGAGGAAGAGGCGGAGGAGGAGAAGGCAGCCGCTGGAGTGCCGCCTGGGGGGGGAGGCCTGAGGCCGCTGGAGCGGCAGTGCGGCAGCCGTCGCTCGGGGAGCGAGCCCCGGACGCGCCCGACCGCTGCCAAGTGCCCGAGGGCTGGGGAGAAAGAGCAGATGCTGGCGGAGGGGTGGGGTCCGGCTGATGGAAAAATCCGGCAACTTGTGAACAGGGCTGGACCTAAACGATGTTTTTCGTTTGGTGTCGTTTTGTTTTTCGTTTTGCTCTACCTGCTCTCCTGTACCCCCTGTCAAACGAAAAACAAAACACAGCCGAAGTCCAGCAAAACAGCGCTGAGGCCCAGCCCTGGATGCTGGCGGCGGGGTGGGGTCTGGAAGATGGAAAAAGTCCGGCAACCTGTGAACACCCCCAGCGCCCCCAGCTCGATCATGGCGGGCCGCGCCGCGACTGTCGAGCTGTCGACTAGCCGAGATCCTGCGCCCCGCTGGCGATGCCAACCAACACTGAGTCGGGGGCAGGGGGCCGCGTCGAAATTTGCGCGGGCACCGCGGTCGCGCGGGCAATCGCGGGAAGTGCGCGCGCCTCTGCCGGTATGGCCGCTGGTCCTCGCCGTGAGGCCGTCCTCCTGCTGATACCGCGGTCGCGTGAAACGTGAGGGGCACGACGTGCAAGGCGTCTCAGATGCCGACGGAAGAGGCCTCCCAAATGGGGTCCGAGGTGATGGGGTCGGAGGATCGCGCCGCGTCGGCGACGCATCGCCGACAACGGCGACGCATCGGAGCCGTCGGCGTAGAGAAACTCGGGCTCCACATCGAGCCGCACCAGGGATGCATCGGCGATGCGGCGCAATCCTCCGACCCCATCTACTCGGACCCCATCTGGGAGATCTGGGTACCTAGAGATGGGGGAGGCCCTTGACATGCAAGAAGGGCGCCTCAGTTGGAGTGTGCCTGGGGCGCACCACACACACACTCACTCACGCACACTTTTGGGGCGTCGCGGGCGGGCCGAGAAAGCCGCACGGCCTTTCGGTAGTCGCCTTTGGCGGGCTGATACGCGGGGCTAAGCAAGGTGAAGGAGCCGTCAGGCCCTCCGAGTGCAATGGCGGGGCAACGCAGCGCAGCGGGAAGCGGCGGGGCCAACCACACACTACACACTCACACACACACACACACACACACACACGCACGCACACACATATATATATATATATATACACACTCAGTCAAGCACACACACACACACACACACACACACACACACACACACACACACGCACGCACACACGCACGCACGCACGCACGCACGCACGCACGCACACACACACACACACACACACACCACACACACACACCACACACAACACACACGCACGGCACGCACGCACGCACGCACGCACACACACGCACACACACACACACCACACACACACACACACACACACACACACACACCGCACACACACACACACACAGACACACACACGCACGCACGCACGCACGCACGCACGCACGCACGCACGCACGCACGCACGCACGCACGCACCCACGCACGCACGCACGCACGCACGCACGCACGCACGCACGCACGCACGCACACGCGCGCACACAAACACGCACACGCGCGCGCGCACAAACACGCGCACACACACACACACACACACTCTCTCTCCCTCTCACAAGCACACACACACACACACACACACGCGCGCGCGCGCGCGGGCGCACACACGCAACACGATGCAGAGGCATTATTGGAAGGAGGATGCCCAAATCCTGCCAATATTTTGCTCGCCGCCTGGAGGATTCGGACATGACATCGTGACATGACATGACTCGTACGTACGGCCAATGTCCTGACATGACATCGTGGGCTCTGGTTTCTGTGACCGTGCGAACCGCTCATCCTTGAACGATCTCTGCTGAGTCCGCGGAGGCTTATCAGCATTGAACGCCCACACGTACTGCGTTCACATTTACGTGGGAATATCCCCACGAAGACCGACGCCAGTGTGCCTCGCGACAGCGACGGCGGCGGCAGCGAGCGGTCTGCGCGGCCCTCTGGCTGTCCGGCTTTGCCGAATTTGCCGCCCATGTCAACTGCGCGCCTGTTCCTGGGCGGCAGCCCTCGAGCCATGTTGGCAACGGACAGCAGTCTGATCACGTCAAAAACCGACTCGGGATGAATAGCCGGCCCTGGAGAAAAGGTCGGAACTTCTGGGGTCCCCCGTCGTGAACAAAAAATAAAGGCGTCGGAGGACGGGGCGTCTTCCGGGGCCCCCGAGGGTCTCGACCCCTTCCCTGGGGCTGCCATTGCATCCCGAGCCTTTGGCTGACGCCCCCAAGGCTGGGGAACGGCCTCCAGAGGCTGGGCACGGCGAAAAATCTGGCCTCCTGACTCCTCCCTTCTGGTTTTTCGCGCCGTCCGCCGCCCTCTCGTTTCTGCGCCTTGGGCCACGTGGGGCTCCAGGCTGGGCCCCCCTTCGCGGGGGAGGCTGGCAGCTGCTACAATTCTGCCCCGCTTGGTTCTCCGGGTGAGAATTTTCTGCGCGACGGCGCGCCGACTGCTGCAAAGCCGAATCCGACCGACCGACCTTCTCCCTCGCCCCACTGGGATGGGCACTTCGTCAAAGCCAGACGCCCCTGCACAATCAAACTCGAAAGAATCACGGAGCCTATATTCCCCCAGAGTCAGAGTCCGAACCTCCAGCCGATTCGCTCTCCTTGCGACGACAATTTCCCCTCCTCTTCCTCAGCCACCTTTTTTCCTAATGACTGTTAGCCGGAGTGATGCCACCTACGTGGTGCAATGAGTGTGGTGCAAGCTACGTGGTGAAAGCAATGTGGTGTAAACCACGTGGTGGAATCTACGTGGCGCAATTGGCTGTTACACATGACCTGGCAAATTCGCTGATCACAAACTTGACCACGTTTTCGGTGGACGCCTTCTGCGCCATCTCGCTTTCCGTGGCCTCCGCCACGGCGCCATTGGTTTTCTGATGGAGCCTCGGCTGCTTGGGCGCCTCGGTTTGTTTAACCAGGGCGCGCCCGGCCATCGGGGTGAGCTGGCCCAGGAGCTCGTCCGCTGATGCGGGGGGGCGCGCTGCGGCGAGTGCCGCGCTGGCCGCATCAGCCAATCGACGCGTCAACTTAGGGCAAGTGGTCCCACAACTGACGCGGTCGGCATCGCGTTTCGCATCGAACCGTTCAACCATGCGCAACAGTGTAAGTTACATGGATGGATGGCAGCACCTCTTCACGATGCGGCTATCGCTTGACATTTCCCGAATGACCAGACGATGAACAGCGCGCCTGCCATTGGCACGGATGGAGGGCGGTTCCTTCGCAAAGCGCGGGGCCTCTCTTGGCCGCGAGAAGGACTCGCGGGCCCACGGGTGTGCGTTGCAGCATCGTCCGTGCGTCCTAAGTCCCACCAGCCCTTTGGGCGTGAGTGGTTTAGAGAGCCCGCTCTGTCCTCAACCCCCCTTCTTCCCCTTCGGGGAGGGGTTTACCCCTCCCCCTACCCCCTCCCCCTGGGCCTGGAGAGGGGGTTTCGCGGGTCGTTGGAGGGGTTTTTTACGACTCCTGGGAGGGCTAAAAAACGACGACCCTCACGAGGATTCTGGCCCCGACGGAGGGACGGAGATAAGTCCCTCTCCTCTTCTTTGAAGCCAAAATCATTGATTTTACTACGGTGTTGGCCCCATTTTGGCCTCCTGAGGGGGCAGCGCTCCTCGTCCTTCCTAGCAAAATCATTGATTTTACGAAGGTTTTGGGCTCATTTTGTCCTTCTCAGGAGGCAGCGCTTATTTGCACTTCTGAGGAGGTCGCAAGAGGCCCCAAGATGGCCCCAAGAGGCCCCCAGGAGCTTCCCAAGAAGCCTCCAAGAGGCCCCCCAGAGGCCCCCAAGAGGCCCCACAAGAGGCCCCCAAGAGGCCCCCAAGAGGCCCCCAAGAGGCCCCACGAGGCCCCAAGAGGCCCCCAAGAGGCCCCCAAGAGGCCCCCAAGAGGCCCCCAAGAGGCCCCACGAGGCTCCAAGAGGCCCCCAAGAGGCCCCACGAGGAGCCCGAACGATTCACACCCGGACGAGGGGCCCGAACGACTCACACCACGAAGTGCCCGAACGACTCACACCAGGAGGAGGGGCCCGAACGACTCACACCAGGACGAGGCGCCCGAACGACTCACACCACGAGGAGCCCGAACGACTCACACCAGGACGAGGGCCCCGAACGACTCACACCACGAGGAGCCCGAACGACTCACACCAGGAGGAGGAGCCCGAACGACTCACACCAGGACGAAGGGCCCGAACAACTCACACCACGAGAAGCCCGAACGACTCACGCCAGGACGAAGAGCCCGAACGACTCAAACCACGACGAAGAGCCCGAACGACTCACACCAGGAAGAAGGGCCCGAACGACTCACACCAGGACGAGAGGCCCGGAGATATGCGGGAGCAGGCGGAAACACGCCTGAAAAACACGACTGTCGGCATGCTTCGCAAGAGTTGCTGTTTTGAGATGGGCTGGTGGGGATACGCGAAGCGTGAAGAATTACTCTAATCCGCATCCTCCTCCTCCTCCTCCTCCTCCTCCTCCTCCTCCTCCTCCTCCTCCTCCTCCTCCTCCCTCCCCCGCCCCTTCCAGGGCTGATGCTGCCGACCCCTATATATATATGTATATATGTATATATATACTATTGCTCAACAACAAGAAATCAATCTCCCCCACACCCCCCCTGGCACTCGCCCAGTGAACATCCAACGCAACACCTCGGAATCAATCTTGGCGCCGCGCGAACGAATGCACGCCGGAGAGACCCACCCGCGCAAAAGCCAGCGGACTCGGCGCCCCAAGGAGCGCAAAGACTGCGCCATCACTCGAGCGCACAACCCCTTATAAACGCGGCCGAAGCAGCCGCCCAGCAGCCGCCTAGCGCCCGTCATTGCGCGCCCTCGAGCTCGAAGGCTACAGTGGCCTCGTCGACGACCATCGCGCACCAATGGCGATGAACGACGCGCTCGTCGATACGCGCACCGTCTCACCACCGTCGTTGCAGTGGACGTCGGTGGCCCGCAGCAGGATCTCCTCGATGTTATCGTAGTCGAACGCCTCGAACGTCTAACGAACGGGCGACCCTGCGTCGGCCCCTCGCGGTTCGGTAACGCGACGTTTTTCCATGCATCGCTGTGTAACAATGGCCTCGATCTCGGGGGCGCAGGCGGCCGCGCGCTTATCGGGCTGGTCGGGGGCCCCGCGACGCTGCTCATCCTCGCTGGGGGGCTCGCAAGCGTCGCACTGCAAATCCACCTTCAAGGGGCGCTTGACCACGTAGAGCCACTTGACGAGGCCCACGAGATCGCCATCGCCAGTGGAATCTCCGTCAGGGGATTGTCCGCGGCACTTGTAGACGTCGACCTCTCAGCCGAAGTACGTGGACAGCTCAGTCGCGATCGTCTTCTCGATGACCGCCCCATCGGTCGAGTTGCGCAGCGTGCACGGGTTGATATGGACAGGAGACGTCACTGGCAGCCAGCAGTCCAACTCCTCAAAGTAGGCCCAGAACCTCCCGATGATATCCCTGACCATCGCCTGCAAGGTTGGAGACCGCAACTGATCCCCCACCGCGTCGCGGTCGGTCGGGAGGTCGAAGCACGCGCGCGCGTGGCTCGCCATGGTCGCCGTTGGCTGGATCGAATTGGCAGGCTGGGTGGCCCGTTGCGGGTAGGTTGAAGATCTCAAAAGACCTGTCCTTCCTGACTGCAGCACCAAAACGGCAACGCTACCTCCATGGCCACGAGACTCCATCCTTCAATCACGCCCGTTATACCCATTCACCCCGCAAAGGCCCCCGAGAGGCACCGAAAGCCCCCCCCCCCAGAGAGGGACCCCCTGAGGCTCACTGGGTGCCCTCACGCAGACCCGCAACGGCCCAAGATGGTCCAAGACAGCGCGCTCCTCCCCCTCGGGGTTGATGTCGACAAAAGTCCAAAAGTCGGATGCGAGATCATGCACAACAAATTGGAAGTGGCCGAATTCGTGCGCATGGTGTTCCAGGCCCCAAGCACTGGTCTTGATCAGCTTCAGCTCTTGTGCAAGGACCCCTGCATCAACATGCAGGAGGCTTCGCCTGGCCACAGTTTTACGGACGACAGCTGCGATCCCAACGTGCGCATCGCCTACATAGCAGCAGGGTTCGCTGTGGTGCCGATGCGTCGAGGGAAGTCTTCGCTACGCTCAAGGGCAATAAAAAGTGTGTGAACGCAAACGTCTGGAGTCGCCGAGCACCTCGCTGTCCTTGCCGCTTGCCGTGTTACCTCCCTCGCCTCCCACGTTCACACCGACTACCAGCCAGCAATCAAGCTGCACGCCCAGGCCAGATATTTTGGAATAACAAGATGCAAGCTCTAGTAAGCGCCCGTGTATGCCCCCTGGTTCGGCCTTGGTCAAAGTCAAGGCCAACTAAGACCTCCAAGGGTAATCCGAGAGCCCCCAGGAGAGTGACAAAGCCATTGGCAAAGACAAGCCGACAAAGCCGCGAAGCCGGCAGCACAAGCCATGTTCGAGCCCAGGGAAGCAGAGCTGGAGTTTCACAAACATGAGACCAAGCCGCTTCGCAGACTCCTTCAGCATCTCGCCACCATTCTGCCGCGGTGGCCCGCCCCCACCACAAAAGGGAGGGAAGAAAAGCATGGACAGGCCAGCCAGCACTGACCCGCCCATCTGGGCCGCTTCTGCTCCCCACATGATGGGCCTGTTTCCCACCACCACCACCACCACCACCACCATAAGTTGGAGGGAGAAGGGGTCCTCCTCCTTCTCCTCCTCCTCCTCCTCCTCCTCTTCGTCCTCCTCCTCCTCCTCGTCCTCCTCCTCCTGCCCCCCTCCAACTTATGGTGGTGGTGGTGGAAAACAAGCCTATCACCACATGTGGGACCCAGGAGACCGCCTCTCCGTGGCTCCTCCTCCGCCGCCTCCCTCGGGGATCCCAGGGACCGTGGGGGCAGGCCAGGGAGCGGTCCACAATTGGGAGCATGTTCGTGGCTACAGTCAACCAGTATAGTGAGGATGCGCGAGAAGGATGCAAGGGCCTTGGACGCCCATTTCGAAGCTTTTCGAGCGGGGCGCGGCCAGCGAAAGCGGCGAAGGACGGACCGAGGAGGCAAGGATGCAAGGGTACCCTTGGGAAGGTTACCCATCCTTACTATGCGGGTTGACTGTACTGGCTCTGCACCGTCTGCAGGGTCCGAGCTAAGTCAGCCAGCTACCAGATAGCCAGAGCTAACAAACGGTGTCCTGGGCATTACAAAGCTGTGACCGCGTTAGCGGGGAATCCCAGAGGGAACAACCTGCTCTGGCTAAAAACTCTGGGCAACTCGAGCATCCTAATATTGTGCAAGAGATGTAGAGCATACACTGAGCGCGGGAATGGTCTGACTGGAGAGTTCAAGCTGAGCCCCCCGAACAGCGGTACGGCCTCGCGCCTTGCCAGAATCCGGAACTTCATCACCCCAAGAGTGGAAGGAACGTTCCCATGATTTCCAGGCCGCCAGTCGCTTTGGCACAATGTTGTCGTCGGGCTCCTCGCCTAGCCCAGACCCGCGCCCCAGATACCCAATCTGGATCGCAGGCCTCAGATCGGGAGGCAGAACGCCCTCCTGTCGCCGCGATGAAGTAATCGTGATGGGTCGAACTCTTCATCGCCGAGCGCTGGCCCTCCTCCTCCTCCTCCTCGTTCTCCTCCTCCTCCTCCATATCCTCATCCTCCGTTTCCTCGTTCTGTATTGTTTACGCCTGTTCCTCCCTTTCATCCCTTTCCTCTTGTTCCGATTTCTCTCCGCCTGTCCCTCCTTTTCCCCACGTTTGTTATCCTCTCCCACCTTTCCCTCATGTCCGTCCGTTTCCCCCGTTTCCTCCTCCCTCCGTGACAGAGAAGCCACGGGAGGCCAGAGCCCCCTGCAGAGGGAGAGATGGAGACCTGGGCCGCGCGGCCGCCGCCGCCGCCAGCAGCGCCGCCGCCCCGGCGGCGCCGCTGGGGTGCCACGCCGCGCCAGCGAGGGCACTGGCCTCGGCCTGCGTGGGGAAGGCGGGCAGCGTCCTCCCTCCCGCCCTCCCTCCTCCTCCTCCTCCTCCTCCCCCGCGTCCTCCTCCTCCTCCTCCTCCTCCTCCGCCTCCTCCTCCTCCTCCTCCTCCCTCCTCCTCCTTCGCCTCCTCCGCCTCCTCCGCCTCTCCGCCTCCTCCGCCTCCTCCTCCTCCTCCTCCTCCTCCTCCTCTCCTCTCCTCCTCTCCTCCTCCCCTCCTCCTCCTCCTCCTCCTCCTTCTCCTCCCTCCTCCTCCTCCTCCTCCTCCTCCCTCCTCCCTCCTCCCTCCTCCCTCCTCCTCCTCCCTCCTCCCTCCTCCCTCCTCCCTCCCCCCTCCTCCCTCCTCCCTCCTCCCTCCTCCCTCCTCCTCCTCCCTCCCTCCCCCCCTCCCCCCTCCTCCCCCCCCTCCTCCCTCCTCCTCCTCCTCCTCCCTCCCTCCCTCCCTCCCTCCCTCCCTCCTCCCTCCCTCCCTCCCCCTCCTCCCTCCCTCCCTCCCTCCCTCCTCCTCCTCCCTCCTCCCTCCCCTCCCTCCCTCCCTCCCCCTCCCTCCCTCCTCCGCCCTCCTCCCTCCTCCCTCCTCCCTCCTCCCCTCCTCCCTCCTCCCTCCTCCCTCCCCCCCCTCCTCCTCCTCCTCCTCCTCCTCCTCCTCCTCCTCCTCCTCCTCCTCCTCCTCCTCCTCCTCCTCCTCCTCCTCCTTCCTCTCCTCCTCCCATCCTCCTCCTCCTCCTCCTCCTCCTCCTCCTCCTCCTCCTCCTCCTCCTCCTCCTCCCCTCGTCCCTTACTTGGGCACACCCCTCACACGTTCCGTGGCCCCATAGGGAGCTCCACCAAAGGCCCAGATGCCAGCGCTCGCACGCGGCCACCGCGCCCAGTGCGGCACGATGCCAACAACAATGTATCTGGCCTCGCCGCCGCCGCGAAACATAGAACTACAACGAGCTGCGCACCAAGCTGCCAGGATTCGAAGGACAAAGGCTGCGTGACAAGCAGACAGGTTCTGAGGGTCATCGTGGCACTGGCGACCGCAACCACGGCAACCACGACCGCGAGTACCGCAAGTGTGTGATCATTCATGGGAGGACCCGCCTTGGGCGCAGACGGGCCCCTGGACGACACGGCCATCCAGAACTACTATGGCCACCTGAGCTACGCGGGACCCCAGGACCACGGCCACGTAGGCTACGACGGCAACCTGGACTACGGCTACAATGGCCGCAGCCGTTTCCAGGGCGTCTACATCCCAGGCGAGGTAGGACGGGACTGGCTTCGGCTGGTCCTCCCTCCCTCAGATTCGGCGCCTGGCAACTGGGTGGGCGACAACCCACATGATGAGAGGGAACCAGAAGAAGGCGCTGTGCTACCAGGGCTCTGCTACGAGGGCCGCGGGCATAATCCCAAGGGCAACACGCAGTGCCGCAAGGGCATCTGCAGAGCTCGGGGAACCCCTCACACGTTTCGCGGCCCCGTAGGGAGCTCCACCGAAGGCCCAGATGCCAGCACTCGCGTGCGGCCACCGCACCCACTCTGGTACACCCCTCACACGTTTCCGTGCCCCATAGGTAGGGAGCTCCACCGAAGGCCCTGATGCCAGCGTTCGCACGCGGCCACCGCACCCATTTGGGCACGCCCCTCACACGCTTCGTGGCCTCATAGGGAGCTCCACCGAAGGCCCAGATGCCAGCGCTCGCATGCGGCCACCGCGCCCATTTTGGCACCCCCCTCACACGTTTCGCATCCCCATAAGGAGCTCCACCGAATACGGTGCATACAGCGACGGTACCCACAACTGCATATGGCAGGGTCCTTCAGCAGGATAGTTTGCTGTCATTGACCAGCACGCTGAATTCTGGGCGACCTATCGCGGCAGAGTTGGGAAAACGCTTCCGCAGACCAGGCATGCCGCAGAAAATCTTGCAGCGCACGTCGCCCTGACCCAGTTATCCCACGTGACCTACGTATTGCTGATTACGACGGCGTTGTAGGAATGACTTGCTGGATGCCCTGCAGATTGTACAATAGGATATCTGAATATGCTGGCGTACATAAGTAAGCCATCGGCCGTAATGTATGTAATGCTGAGGTTGTTAAGAACAAGTCGCATGTTAATCCTGACGCGATCGTTCCAGGATCTGATGTATGGCGGAAGGAAGGCCTTTGGCCACTCGAAGGCTGACATTTTGGCTAAGACCAGAGCTCTCCGCCATAACTGGCCCTCCAGTGAGGAGGTTGCAGCTGCCCTCGCCGAAAGCAAGGCCTCGCGAGCTTACTTGATGTATGTTGCAAAGCTGTGCTTGTGTTCGCCGGAGCTCGAACTCCCCCGTCCCAGAGGCCGAGTCTGTAGCGCAGGCCAAAGGAAGAGGAAGGAGTGAGTTCGACGGCACCTTCATCAGGAGCCCGCCCTTGCAAATTTGGGTATCTTAGGGCAGGCTGCTCGGGAGAGTAGTCGTCCCGCAACCCTGTGCCTGCTCGGTCGACCTCCCTGTTGCGGGGGAGCGTGCCGACCACTTGCAGCCGAGGACCCTGATGCCCTTCCCGCCCCTGGCCCTGCCACCCCTCTATCCACGCTTTGCCCCCCTTGTCCTCATCAGTGGGCCTGGAGATCTCGCTCCTCACGCTGGAGTTGCGCGGGATAATTCGGGGAACGCCAGGGCCAGGAGCGTCCTGATGCTGGCCGTTGCCCAGGTTCCCCCTGACAGACTCAGCGATGTGCTTCGTAACCCCAAGGGACACAAGCTGTACATTGCTGACTCCTCTGCCGTCGATGACAGATGTATCATAATCTGTAGCGCCGGCGGAAGTTACACTTCCGATGGTCGGCCTGTAAACTTACAGAATGCGTGTGATGAGGCATTCAAGTCCTATGGCGCTAGGCCTCTTGGCAGCGCGTCGTGAAGCTGTAGCATCCCTCGTACAAGCAGGGGCTGGCCAAGGTGCTGGAACCTGCCCTTGCTTTGGACTTGCGCCGAGTGGTAGATAGGACAGGCGGGCGTGGGTCAGAACGTGGATAGAAAACCCACACCTTGTTGGTGGGGGGCGGTTCTTATCCCGATGCTTTCCCATGCTGGCTTCTTCTGTCCTGTCGCCCTGAAGTGTCCAATCCAATCTAATCCTCCTCCTCCTCCTCCTCCTCCTCCTCCTCCTCCTCCTCCTCCTCCTCCTAATCCTCCACCTCCTCCACATCATCGCCCCTCCTCCTCCTCCTCCTCCTCCTCCTCCTCCTCCTCCTCCTCCTCCTCCTCCTCCTCCTCCTCCTCCCTCCTCCTCCTAGCCCCTCCCGCCCAAGCAGGTGTAGAGGACAGCGCATTACTGGTTGGGGCGCAGCTGTCCCGAGTCTGGCTACCTAACCTTCTTCATGTCATGGCGTCGCGGGGATTGGCGCCAGCGCGTGCCCTGGCGCAGCGGCCCACCCCCATCGACGCCTCCATCGAAGGCAGCGGCGCTGCGCTGAACTTGGTGGAGGTGAACGTCGCGGAGGTCGTGGCAGCGGCGGTCGACGCTGCAGTACGAGCTTCCGTGCTCCCGAAGGCGATGCCGAAGCAGGTGGTGATGCCGCGCCCGTCGAGGGCCCCGCGCTACGGGGAGCAGCTGGCCTTGGAGGACGGCTCCCCGCAGCCTGCGGTGACCAGCAAGGCGGCGCCTCCGTCGCCACCGCCTGGAACGTGGCGCATCGCGTCCCCACCGCCGACGAGGTCCTCGGGAAGGGATTGCAGGTCGCCGGAGGACAGCGTGGTCTCCGTCCGCCCGAAGCCGGTCGTCATGCCAGAGGGTTGGCTGGGCGCGAACCCGTTCTGCGAGAGCAGGGAGAAGCAGCAGAACCACAAGGAGAAGAAGGAGAAGAAGGGGCAAAAAGAGAAGAAGCAGAAGAAAGGCGGAGACAGGAAGCACGAGCGGGAGCGCCGCCGGAGGCGCCGCTCTCGTTCGCCGCCGCCTCCGCCCGTATTGGACTGATTGGACTGAAGTACGTCGGCAGTCACGTCACCAAGTGGTTCGACTTGGCGAGCGATTGCGACAGCTACACGAGCCACGACGAGCAGATCCAGCCGTCCCTGCAGCCATGTGACATGGAATTCGAGGATAGCGCCGCGCAGTAGGCGCCGAATACCTGGAGAAGTTCGAACCGTCCTTGCAGTGCGGAGCTGGAGTACGAGGATAGGGACAAGGTGAAGCAGATCGAGCCGCACCCGAGCCTTGCGCAGCTCGTGGACAGCGACCTGTACCTGGAGAAGTTGCAGAAGGTCAAGCAGCTCAACCTGGACGCGTTATACAAGGTTGCCGCCGCCCGCGAGGCGAGGGTTGCAGCCTGGCGCCTTCGCGAGGACGTCGTGGTGAGGGTGCTGCACGCCAACACGTTGGAGGCAGGTGGTGTGGACAAGCTGGGGGACATCCCGCCCTTCCCGAAGCTCGAGGCGCTCCCAGGAGCGGTGGTCGAAGAGGGCGTCAAGGAGGCCAAGTACGTGAAGGGCCCCTGCGAGATGCTCGTGAAAAGCCTTTCGAAGGAGGAGCTCGAGGAGCTGGGCCCGCAGGAGGGGGTCACGCTTGAGGACTTCATCAAGTGGGCGCGGAAGTTCGAGCGCAGCTAGAGCTCGGGCAACAAGTTCGTGAAGTAGATTGTGGAATACTTCAAGGTGGGCGATTCCTGAAGTCTCGACTTCAGCGAGTCGTGGAGGACTGAGGGCCTCGAGGGGGGTGCAGTCTCGGGAGTTCTTGATGGGCCCCTCCCCTCTGTTTTCGGGTCCTGGGCCCGTCTGCCGCCCCGTCGTGAGCTCAAGGGGCTGCATCCTCCTTGGGGTCGGGGCGTCCGTCCGCGCCGTGCGTCGGCGAAGGCCGATCTGATGGTGCCCGCATTGTCGCTATCGCTACACTCCTCCTCCTCCTCCTCCTCCTCCTCCTCCTCCTCCTCCTCCTCCTCCTCCTCCTCCTCCTCCTGATCCAACTCCTCCTCCCCCTCCTTTTCCTCCTCCGATGTCTCCTCCTTGTGGTATCGGGCTCGGC